ATTGAAGTATGTTTGGCGGTCCAATGTCGAGGCATGGATAGCGCCAGCTGATCTAGATGGTCAGGTAAGAAAATTCCCTTTTTGTATTGTTCTTGTAATTACTCAGTCATTCACTATTATGTACTGTTTAGTTGTTCTTTTGATTCTTTCTTTTTTTTCTATTATCATGAACTTTTACACATGGGCTTTCGTGTTTTGTCTTCTATGTACACTGTTGAATTCGAGGAGATGAAACTGAGCGGCCCAATGGTACTTGACGGTACTCCCACCTTTCCTATTGGTGCGCGACCCCAGCGTCACGGTCGACTGTTTGCTCCAAAAAGGCAGGGCAACTAACTAGGATAGCCAATCAATACGTGGCGCGCAATGAGACAACTAGCTAAGCGTGTCTGCAAGCATTGAACAAATTGGGTTTCTTACTCAGCAAGTCGAACCGATGCCAAACGAGCGAAATGCGATCAATTACTTTACACTTGTATGGAATACTTCGGAAAAATGCTTTTCTTATTCATACCCACGTTTCATTTTCAGATCCCTTTGGTGCATTTCCATGAGGTGTCAGAATCTGGAAAAGGTCTGTCTGAAGGAGATGTAGCTCGTCGCCATGTTACTTACGGGAAGAATAGCATTGAAGTCAAGTTGAAACCGATTCTCGTTCTACTTTTCATGGAGGCGATTTCGCCATTCTACATTTTCCAAGTTTTCAGGTAAGTCTTCCCGAAGGCGGTATCCGTAGATTTGTAAAGATTCCAGTTACAATGGTATGAGTCCTTTTGTCGATGGCCGGGCTCGGTGCAGAACCGGTCAAACCAGTTATGAGAAAATTCTCGGTTTCATGTTACCATTAGATGTTTTTATTTGATTAAGAGTCACGGACACCGATACTTCATAGTAACTTGAGCCAGTAATTTCTCTGTTTCAGTGTCTCGATTTGGTTCTCTGATAATTACGAGTACTATGCATCAGTTATAGTGATTATGTCTGTGCTGTCCATTGCGATAGATGTCTACCAAACAAGGTCAGTTCATGTATGGAGTGGAATTTGTATATTAATGGAATGCGTTGCAGTAATAAATGAAATATAAAAATGAATGCTCCGAAAAAGAAAATATCATAATGCGTGAAGATAACTTATTTTGAAATGTAGATTCAATTTCACTCAGAACAGTGATCGCTAAAAAGTGAATTCCGAAATCAAGTGGAATAAAAGACCATCGATCAAATTTATCGATTTTTGAATGATGTTGGCACTATCTTGGAAAGCAAAACTTTTATCGCACTGTCTATAGATGGTTCTTCGCCGTAGCAGAGGTTATGACAGTAAGCTCTCCATACCTTGCTTGTAGCTGTTGCTCGATTTTTTTTCAGAAATACTCTGTGAGAAAATGTAGAATAGTAAGTCCCTAAAAGGAAGGAACCTGTTCGAAAAAAAGGCACAGGTTTACAATTAGCATGGTTGAACTAGGATGAACCTGTAGCTCCAAGTACCATATAGTAGCTTTTGGGGCCAAAAATGGTCTAGATAACGCGCAATAAAGGCCCAAAAACCGGCATCGTCGACGCCCACGCCCAAAGGCGGACGTGTTCCAACGGCGTTTTTAGAGAATGTCCCTTTTACAACGGAGACACATGTTGGAAAATCAATCCATCCGTCGTTAACCATAGGGAGAATAAAGGGCAATGTTTAACATTCAAGGCTTACTGTGGCTAGCTCTTTAGCAAGGGCACACGAATGAATCTCGTCCATACTTCTTCCATACGACTTGTATCATGGTAATCTCGTATATAGCCCTATTTAAACCACATTTGAGGAGCCTTATTTCACAAATTCTGCAGACTTTCTTGTTTTTCCAATCAGTGATGCATTGTTCTCCATCAACGCTACTGTTTTTCGTAAAAAGGTACCTCAAAATTATCATGGTTTTTAAATAGTACCGAAACCTGTACGAAATAAAGTGTTCAATATTAAGAATGAAGATAGATCTGGTCTATGACTGAAAACTAGCGTTCCTTCCCGCTGCCCTTGTTTAGGCTTCCGCAACTGAGAATTCAGGAGAGACGGGCGTTAGGAACGATTTTGGTAATCGATTCGCCGCACGCGGCTGTCGCGGACCACCCATTCGCCGTTATTACAGCTCCAGCGTACTTCATACAGCTCAATCGATAAACGATCATCATTTTATGCACGATTCTACTATTAGTACTTCTGTTCTTGTATTACTTACCTACCGCTGCATCCTGCTACATTCTTTCGCTGGCGGCGCCCCTCTCACCGCGACGCGACCATTTCGTTCCTAATGCACCACACCCAGAATTCAGGGATTTATATGAATCAAAAAAGGCTAGAACTTTTCCTCTATGTTCCAGAGGCCCATAGCAAGGTAAAAGTGCTATTTTAGAAAAGCCCGGATATTTCTTTCGTTACAGGAGTCAGGAGAAAAAATTGCGTTCAATGGTTCAATCGTCCAACGAGGTGCAAGTGTTACGTGAACAAACCGTAAAAACGATCAGTAGTGATGACGTAGGCATTTAATATCTGTCGATCGAGAGGATTTCGGTGACTTATCATTCACTAAATTATTTACATTACTTTTTTTAGCTAGTACCGGGCGATATATTTTTGGTACCACCTCATGGAGGAATAATGCAATGTGATGCGGTTCTAATGAATGGCACAGCGATTGTCAACGAGAGTATGCTGACGGGAGAGTCTGTTCCTATTACAAAGGTCTTTTTATTATTATATATTTTTCCTGTTTGCTGAACTAAGGTATCGGTACTTCTTTGAGAGCCAAAGCAACTCTCATTTATGCCCTTGTGCCAGTAAAAATGACGGGAACGTGAACGTAAATTCAGGGCAATGATATTCCTACCGTAACCTAGTTCTAGTCGTACTACTGGAACTCAGTGGCAGAGAACCCTCAGTGAAGGAGATTCGTTGAGTCTCTCCTCAATTGTTTGCTTAAAATTGCCAATCCTTACCCCATTGGTGTACAAAACTTTTATAGTCTCATAGTTTTCCATGACTCAGATTGCTGTTTCAGGTTGCACTACCCGCTGTGAGCGAAGATGAAGAGAATATGCGATTTTGCTTCGAAAAACACTCAAAGCATATACTGTACTGTGGTACACAAGTGCTACAAACACGATACTATCAAGGAAAACTAGTCAAGGTAACAAGTAAATTCTATCACCCCTCTGGTGTTTCATGAGACTGTCCTTACGGACAGCTTCTTTCTCTCGGTGAATAAGCCGCAGCGTTTTGATGAAAGATCCCCGCATTCCTTCGTGCTCAACGAGACAACTTGCTTGGAATCGCTGCGATATGAGTGCGTAGGGGATGATGCCATATACCTCTGCGTTGGTGTGCATATTTTGGGGTGTGGGGCGTTAGGAACGAAATGGTCGCGTCGCGGTGAGAGGGGCGTCGCGCCCGAAGGAATGTAGCAGGATGCAGCAGTAGGTAAGAAA